GTCTGTGGCCTAAAGAGGATCTATCCTACTGTCTGAGCTGATAGCAATTCTTCCTGAGCACTGCATTATTGAAATTCTGTATAACGCCATGCAGATTATCGAGATTTTTCTTACACCCAAAGCGCTGTTGGACTTCTACCACTTGACTTGGCTCCAAACAGCGTCGTTGCTGAAATAAGAGAAAACATCTTAAGCAAAAATGTCTAAAAGTAATAGTTTCATGGACACCAAGATATACAAATATTACCGGTAATGACGAGGCTGACATCCTTTCAAAAACAGCAGCAAAGGAAGCAAAAGAAATACCACTTAAGCATAACGCATGACACTACAATGCCAAACAAAGAGCTTATAAAAGTACAGCAAGGAAAGGACCGAATGATTGGAAATATCTGAGGGAAGCATGGACTTGTACGAAAAGACGTCATTTTCAATATGCTTCCAATACCAGCTTATGACTAGCAAAATAGACAAAAGCAACATACCGGCATTGGGAATTCATGATGTTTCTTATGATATCGAGCCTATTTGGGGTACACGTCAATAACTCAGCCACACGATGCTGAAGATAAGCAGAAGACATCCATATACTTGTGATAAATCTAATAATGTTAATAATGGTCAAATTTAAATTTTAACCCTTTTCATTTCAATGTTAAATGTCTGTTCTGAATACAGGGACAATACATCTATCAATAATCTCGTAGTATTCAAGCTGTGATGTAATGTTCATTATAAATATAACGACAGGGTACTAAATTATTACAATGTAATATATTTGTCTAGTTACATACCGTGGTTGTATCGTAAAAGAGTCATATCGATCTTCACATTTTATCAAGCTAGCTTTTACGTTTTCTATAATTAGATTCTTTAAGATAATCAGTGTTGTGTAGGAGATTTGTTCATGTATGTATTTTATACATTTTAAGTTTCACCTTGTTCTTTTTTGTAATTTAAAGTTGTAAATTTGTGAATAATTTGCCAGAATCTTAATTGTAATGTATAATGATACTTTACCATAGTTATACACTTCAAATGGCAAAATCAAAAGCTCAAACACATCAAACGAATTGATAACAACTGTCTTATTCCTGACTTGGTACAGGCATTTTCTTATGTAGAAAATGGTGGATTGAACCTTGTGTTATACATAGCTAGCTAAAACTCTCACTTGTATGACAGTCGCACCTAATTCCATTATATTGAGAACGAAACAAACAGACATAATAGGTAAAAATTTCAAATATACAGCAGTCAACATTGTGTTATAATCTTAAACCATGTTTCATCCACCATTTCCTACACAAGAAAATGCCTGTACCAAGTCAGGAATATGACTATGTATTTTATACATTTTAAGTTTTACCTTGTATTTTATACATTTTAAGTTTTACCTTGTATTTTATACATTTTAAGTTTTACCTTCAGTTGTTCTTTTTTGTTCTTCAAAGTTGTAGATTTGTGAATAATTTGTTAGAATCTTAATTGTAATGCATAATGATACTTTACCATAGTTACACTTACGTCAATTTAAAATAGTTTCTGTCATAGAGAAGTCCAAATAACATTCCTTGTTAATAACATGAATAATGGAGCGGGCCTTCGTAGTTATTTGGACATTTGCAATAACTAAGTATACAACTGTCGTTTTAAACCTTTTCCAAACGCCAGCATGGACATCATCGTTCAGGAATGGAAAGTTATTTACTATTGTTCACTTTCCTTCAGTCATACGTTTTGCCCTTTGGATATTTCCATGGACATTTTCTAAAAAAAGGAAATGAATGAAATATGTTTAAAGGACGTACATATTGAATGAAGATGAAAACTGTTGATACTGGATTTTAAAGTGGTATCGTCCGAACCGGAGTAATAAAAACGTAGTAATACAATGGACACCAAGTAGATCATCAACATACAATTTTATTTGCGAGTCGTATACAATATTCACTAGTTTCAACAACAATATCCATGAAAAAAACCGACTTCTATAATCTAAACATTATTTTTCTCTGCATTTCTAGTTGACGTTCTGTCACAGATATCCATCGGGTAAAAACGATCATTTTCCATTGTGTTTAATTCCTGTTCTGTTAATTTATAAAAACAAACAAATATAACAAAGAAGCACAAAAAGGCATATAAACAAAGCAAAAATGAAAAACAAGAATACAAAAAGACATTGTCGATAAATATTCCATTTCATTTTCACAAATAATACACGATGGTCTTGAAGTATAGATTCTAGGTACTGACGTTGTTTATCATCTTAATAGCGTGTTATAGTATTCTTTTATTATACACTTGTTTACGCAAATCTATTATTCTTAAAAATATATTGAATATACATTCGCAAAAGAATAGATAGAGTTTCATTAATAAATAACATTTTTTTTCTTTATTATATATATAGTTACTTGTTTTTTTTCCCAAATAATGCGAATTTGTAATTTAACGAAATTTTTTTTTATGGATTTTGAAACATTTTTATTACATGGCACATCCATCTTTTAGTTTTCTTTAAACTATAGTTGATTTTAAAACATATAAGTATATTTTCTAAACTACAGCAACAGCATATAATGGACGAAAAGATAAAAGAAAATGAAACACAAGAGGAAGGCTACAAACGTATTGGTATAAGTATTGTTTTATATATGTTACATTTTTAGTTATTAAGTTATCTCTAAAACCCAACATGCATTGACCATTCTATTTTTTAGTGAAGGAATCATGTAAGATGCCATTTCCGAAAATTCATTACTGACATATCTTATGTTAAATCTTACCCTAGACAAATAAATGTGTTAAGAAAATACTGCTTATATATAGTTTGTTAGATTTTAAGGGTATTTGAGTTCTCGTTTCCATGAACCCTTATGTCAACTTTCCATACAGCAATCTCATGCTTTACTGAGCCTGTTGTTCAGTGGTTGTCGTTTGATAATGTGGTTTATACTATAAGTGTTTCTCTTCTCTCGTGTTTTTATCGATTGGACCGACGTCTAGTTTTTCCAGTTTTAAGTTTTTTTTCACTAATCATTTTGAGTCCCCTTATAGCTTGCTGTTTGGTTTCAGGCAAGGCTTTGTGTTGAAGGCCTTACTTTGATCTTTAATTGTTTACTTTTATACAATGTGACTTGAATGCAGAGTTGTCTCATTGGCACTCATATCATATCTTCAAATATTCATTTTTATCTGTATGTAAAATTATTTCATATTTTTCTTCTCCTGATTAATTCCTCAGCTTGGGAAAATGTGTTCAGTAGTAATTACAATGCTCACATACATTTAACTAACATAATTCTCCTAAAGTCAAAACTACCGTGCCACCTTCCATCACTGTATTGGATACCTAAACTACATAAGTGTCCTTACAAACAACGGTATATTGCATCTATTTTATCAGCAATCAAAGCCGGGCTCCAAAGTTATTGTGAAACTGCCTATTCTAGAGGTGGCGTGAATCAGATGTGGATACTAAAAAATTCCAAAGATCTTACATACAATCTAAGATTCTCTCATCTTGCAATAGTATTAAAGCATTTGAATTTTCTACACTTTACACAAGTATTCCCCATTCCAAACTAAAAGACAAATTGAAAGAGTTGGTATTCCTTTGTTTCATTAAAAAGAATGGCGAACGTAGATACAAATATCTTGTCCTGGGGAGGGATAAATCCTACTTTGTGAAGAATCACTCTGATTCAAACAAAAAATTCTCTGAAACTGACATTATCAAGATGCTTGATTTCTTGATTGACAATATATTTGTTACGTTTGGAGGACGTGTTTTTCAACAGACTGTCGGAATTCCAATGGGAACCAATTGTGCCCCTCTTCTTGCCGACTTGTTTCTTTATTATTATGAGGCTGACTTCATACAGGAACTTCTTAGGAAGAAAGATAAGAATTTAGCAATATCATTTAACTCTACGTTCCGCTATATAGATGATGTTCTCTCACTAAATAATACAAAATTTGGTGACTATGTTGAACGAATCTATCCCATCGAACTAGAGATAAAGGATACTACAGATACAGTTTAGTCTGCCTCATATCATGACTTACATCTAGAAATTGACAATTAGGGTCGGTTGAAAACAAAACTTTACGACAAAAGAGATGATTTCAGCTTCCCAATTGTGAACTTTCCATTTCTATGTAGCAACATTCCAGCAGCGCCTGCATACGGAGTATATATCTCCCAATTGATACAATATTCCCGGGCTTGTGTTTCCTATCATGATTTCCTTGAAAGAGGATTGCTGCTCACAAGGAAGCTATTAAACCAAGAGTTCCAAATGGTGAAGTTGAAATCATCCCATCGTAAATTTTACGGACACCATCACGAGTTGGTTGACCGTTATGGAATAACCGTTTCATAGATGATATCGGATATGTTCCGTATGTCGTAACTACAATACCCTTCCCTTTTCACGAATGTGACTTACCAAATAGACTATTTACCGGATTTGTAATAACATAAGCAACACGACGGGTGCCACATGTGGAGCAGGATCTGCTTACCATTCCGTAGCACCTGAGATCATCCCCAGTTTTTGGTGGGCTTCGTGTTGCTTAGTCTTTATTTTTCTATGTTGTGTCATCTGTACTATTATTTGTCTGTTTGTCTTTTTATTTTTTTGCCATAGCGTTGTCAGTTTGTTTTCGATCTATGAGTTTGACTGTTCCTCTGGTATCTTTTGTCACTCTCTTCTAAAGAGATATTATTCGTCGAAATGTGCACTAAAATTGGTTCCGTTTATATTATTGAATATTATTGTTTCCTTAACAGAGAGCAAACAATCGCATTTGGGAGAGAACAGACAACGAGTTGTGTGTCCGGGTTGAGTGTTACATTAGGTGCAAGTATATTGACATTCGAGCACAGAACGTAGGTCATACGAACTAAGTATATGTATATCATATTGAGACGTTGTTGCTTCAGTATGGTTAAGCAGTAATTGTAAACTAAATTATTTTTTTTCCTTTCAGAACAACAAAACGTAAAGTTGGGGAATCTTGTATACAAAGTGCAAATGCATTTAAATGAGGAGAAAAAGGCACGAAATCGAAATAATTATTTACAGGGATTTATATGCTGTACTCAAAGTAAGTATTCACACGATTGACAAAATCCGTAAAGCAAAGAAAAATTAAGGAACTTTCTTTCGATTAATATCTTCACATATCATGAAAACGTTTCATAATACTTTCATTCACATTAAGAATGTATAGCTCCGAATGTCAATTAAGGACGTACTTATGTTAGGTAAAGGCTTTTGACAGATGTTCGGACTCCTTGGTGTTTTTCCTATAATACAGGGTAAAATAGTTTGCCCCAGAACACCCGTTTTTCTTCCGTATAAGACTTCAACTGACCATTAAAGTTCATTACCTAGAAATTTTAGCAGATTCTAGATTTCTTTTCTTTTGATTTGAGACCCAAATATTACCAATGCAAATATAAGGTAAAAGCCCGAGTCAGTCTTTTCCGCCATTTAAACGAAAATAACTATCTAAAAAAGGAGCTCTTTACCCTATCAATTGTTTAGCTTATTTTGTTCCTTTGCTAATACTCTTCTGACTTATAGTATCAATTTTTGAGTTCTAAATTTTTTTTTTCAATTTAACTTATTACATCCTTAATATCTATTAGCTTCCATCTTGTATAAGAATTTGTTATTTAGTAATAAATTTTACATATATTCTTGAGAAATTAATGATAAGAGGTAGTTACTATGATGAGTTTATTTGATATTAACATTGAATCTTATTTTCCTTCTTTATGCTTGGTTGTAGATTACCAACCAGACAAATATCAAGAACGACAATCCCTTTCAGATGACAGTAAGTGCAAAACTGTTTTTATAATTTGTTAGCGATTTTGACGGCCGCTGTCGTGATGTTGTTTCATGAACATTATTCTCTGAATGCACCGATTACATTTCAACAAATTGTTTACTGAATAATTCATAGTATAAAATTTGTGTTTATATTTTCATTTAGTTTAGGGATTTTTTTTTTCTGCGTTGAAGACCCATTGTCTATTTATTTTTCCTCGCTTTACCTTGTCCCATTTATCATCGCCTAATCGTGTCTAACAATTTCTAATCACAGGTACGTTTCTATTTTAAGACGCTGGACGCCAAACTTTTAGCGCTTATAAGTTCTCTTTGAGGTAGAATGATATGACCTTGTTATTGTGTTCTATGCAGAGAAATACACATATAAAAAAATACTTATCTTGCAATCTCAGTTTATATATTTTTTCTCTCTATACGTTTCTTCTCGTACAATGTGCGCTACTTAATAAGAATTTAAGAAATTCGAGGTTAGCATCACTGTTTGTTATTTTGGGATATATCTTTTTCACATTTCTCCAATAATGTACGACCAATAGAGGCCGGTTAGTACATGTAGTAGCAGACTGATGAAATGCTACGCTTTTGTTATGTTACATGGCGAATTATAGTTTTTAACAGATTTAACTTTCCAGCTACCAATTTTATACAGTTCCTCTTTAGCTAAGACATATAACAGTTATGGAAATACATCTTGTAGTAGTCTATATTTTATGATGGTAAGATGATAAACCCCTAACGGTGGGATTGTGCTTGATTTTCATATGACGAAGACATAATGATCAAGCCGTTAAATTGAGGTCTAGAGCTGGCATGTCAGTAACTGCTAGTTTGTTAATTTATGTATCATTGTCATTTTGCTTAGTTTGCTTTGCTACCTATTTCGACATCGGACTCGGACTTTTTTCAAGTGAATTTTATTGTGCGTATTGATATGTGTTTGTTTTTTCTGCATTAGCTGGAGGTAAAGGGGATGGTTGAGATCTCACAAAACATGTTTTACACCGCCGCATTTTTGCGCCTGTCATAAGTCAAGGCCTTTGGGCCACTGTAAGTCTTGCCACTGTAAGTCTTGTATAATTTATAATTTCAGTTCATTTATATGTTTTGGAGTAATGTATGACGTTCATTATCAATGAACTAGTACACATTTTTGTTTAAAGGCCAGATGAAGCACGCCTCCAGGTCCAGGAGTTTCTCGCTGTGATGATGATACATTGGTGACCTTCAGCTGTTTTCTGCTCTTTCGTTAGGTTGTTGTCACTTAGACGCATTTCCTATTTCCATTCTCAATTTTAATTGTTGAATTTCCATCAATCCCTGTTCATGAAGTGTATTGTATGAAAATCGTCTGTATTATTTCATAATGAAAATTGAATTTATTTATATAAAATATAATTGCAAAAACTGTATATACATTGATATATCTGTGAGTTAAAAAATGAGCATTCAACGGCATTTTTTAAAAATTCACAAGACATGAAAAAGGATACGTTATGCTACTGTAAATTCAGAATCATGGTGTTCATTTATTATTGCGATTTTGTCATTTTTGACTCAAAAGCGATTTTAATTTTTACGATTTTGAGAAAAATCCTGTTTAATTCATATAAAATATTTAAAACGCAAGTTTTAATTATAGCGTTAACAACTCTGTCGCATTTTTCTCGAGTTTCTCGCTGCATTGAAGACCCATTGGTGGCCTTCTTTGGTCGGGTTGTTGTCTCTTTGACACATTCCCCATTTCCATTCTCAATTATATTTTATACTATAGATATTTTTTTCTCTTTATAATGTAGAATAGTTTAGGTAAAAATTAAATGTTGTCATATTAATAGATGAAACCTGTTACATTAAATGGAAAATAGAAACAGCAGATAAGACGAAAATGGAAAAAGTAGTACCTGAATTAAAAATGGCGGCTGATTACATGGAAGCACCTTTCAGAATTGAATTTGTTCATATTGGTTCCCTCATTCTTGGCACTACAGTCAAAATTCGTATTCTTCAAAACAACAAGGTTTTGCGACGTGCAGTGAAAAAGCTTTTGAAGGAAATACAGTTTTTTGGCGAAATCAACACAAATTACAAGGCCGTGTTCAAGGTTGAGGCATTTCAGTTGGATAAGGAGAAATTTTGTAAGATTATTATTTTGTTTAGGTTTAAGGAACGCTAGCTGTCAAAATCATGTCTAACGATTTGGCTAAAATTGTTATATTTGATTTATAACATACTGTTTTTTATTTAGCTTATTATGACCAAATTGAACCAAACTGACTAAAACTATCGAATATTATTCAATATACCGCTTTTGTCAATGTTTAAAGAAATCAAATTGTATTCCAATATTTGTTTTTTTCTAAATTGTAGCTAATGCGCTAATGATACGTTTTAATAATACTTTAGAACCGTTAAATTGATAAAATGTCAATAGATTATCATTTAAATATAAAATTTCAATCCTGGTATGATAAGTTTATTTATCAGTGATGCCATTATCACAAGATCTAAAATAAATTTATTTCAATATGTGGTAGTAAGGTCTAATCAAAGGGTTTACTTCAAAGTAAATTCAGTTTCTATTGCTATGCTTCTATCACCCGACATGCTAATCTACATGTTTATGCAATTCGTTTAGAACGATGATTTTCATTTGACGTTGACAAATCTTTTCAAGACTTTGATTCCATGTCCTACCAGTCCGTAACAATTAAAATCCACCATTTTGAATTCCGAAATTATTTATGCGTAATTATGCAAATAAATAGTCACATGGTGTGCCTCAAAATCTATAGAATCGTACGAAAAGTATGAATAAATCTACTGTTTATGTTTGACAACGGGATTATGCCTATTACATCACATTGCTTATAAGTCGCTCGGTCAACTCAATCAGCGACACTGAAATCTACGTTTTACGAGCGTCAAGCTTAAATACAATACAGTTATCTCATAGTTCAATGAAAGTTTCTCAATAGAAAGTTGGTTTCTAAAGATCTACAAGTTGAAAACATGTTACTAGCGATTTGTGAATAGGACATATCGTATCAGTCATCCAATTTGTGATGGTGACCGCATAACTTATGCAGTGTTGATAGAGGTAGGAAATTTACCTAACATTTTGGAGCAGTTTTTTTGTAAGAAGCACTCCTTTGTAAATACAGTACATACACTTGTAATTATAAACGTGCATGAGCGAAAGGTATGAAGACAAAATTTTAAGCTCCATATGATGGAGTATGAATAACGCAACGAATAAATATCAGATAACGTATTTGGATTTTGAATGTAACATGTGTAAGCATACTGGATATTCGATTTTCAATATTATATTTCATTCTTTGTACTTTTCTCAGGTACGTTATTGGAAGCCGTTTTTGGCATTTTAAATACAAACAGCAATAAGGTATATTAGTATTTGGTATTGTTATTACACAAGGAGGTATGATTTTTATTGGTGAAAAACTTTAATTCTCAATGATGATGATTGTATCTAGCATGGTACATTCCCTCCTCCCTCTTCCTTTGTTTTTGGTTGTTATAAAAGAGGAAAGGTTTCGTTTATTTGAAACGTGTGAATTAGTGTAGACTTAAAACATTCCTTTCTTACCTTGCCTATATTTATAATGCAACATCCTTGAATTTTCAATGCATTTGAGGATATCGATTAAAGTTGTGCAAAACTTGATTCCATGTTGAATATGTACTTTTGGTGAAGGTAAGGGTAAGACGTCTGTGATCTTTATTTGTTTATTGATTACTACATATTTTATAGGTGAATGATTCTTGCTTTTATAACTGAACTTTCAAAACATAATAATTTCAGATTTGGAAAATGCTGATGATTCGCCTGGTAGTCCCTCAGATGAATGTGAAAAGGATCCTTCTTTTGTAGAAGTTTCAGAATGCAGTTCGAATAAACCACTGCCAATATCAAATAATGATGTTAGGTGTGAATCCCGAAATATCCATGAGTTAAACCTGGTAGAAAATTCAGAGAACAGTTCGAATGCACCGCTGCCAACATCAAATAATGCTGTTCGGTGTTATTCTCGAAATATTCACGAGTTAAACCTAGATCGAGTTCCAGAATACATTTCGAATGCACCGCTGCCAATAACAAATAATGCTGTTCGGTGTTATTCTCGAAATATTTACGAGTTAAACCTGGATCGAGCTCCAGAATACACTTCGAATACACCGCAGCCAGTATCAAATAATGCTGTTAGGTGTTATTCTCGAAATATTCACGAGTTAAACCTAGATCGAGCTCCAGAATACAGTTCGAATGCGCCTCTGCCAGTATCAAATAATGCTGTTCGGTGTTATTCTCGAAATATTCACGAGTTAAACCTAGATCGAGCTCCAGAATACAGTTCGAATACACCGCAGCCAGTATCAAATAATGCTGTTCGGTGTTATTCTCGAAATATCCACGAGTTGAACCTTGGGTATTCGGAATGTCCAGAGCAATTAGTATATGTATATAACTAAGCTGTATTACAGATTGATATATAACTGAAACCGTTTTTGAAGGATATCGTACAGTAATTATTGTGTTGCTGTAGATTAGAAACAGTTGAAATTAGACAATTGTGTCTGTTTGTGTTGGATGCCAACTTTTGTTAAAATTTAACGGAACTGTGCCCAAACGTCATACATGTGGGAGGTTTACCAAGCTATAAAACCATGTTTAACGCACCATTCTTTCAGAAAATGACTGTACTTAATTTGGAATATGGCAGTTGTTTTCCATTTGTTCCGTTTGTTAACATAGTCCAAATATTAATTTTAGTAGGTTTTATAGACCCGTGTTTTAGTTTTCCTTGGAGTTTGCAATATTTTCAATATTTGTTTCATTATTAAATCAAAGATTCTCATCCGATTCTTCTGTAATTGATGAAATGTAATAAAATTATTAATATCACCGACATAGACATATAATTCAACAGCTAAATATATGAATGACATAACTTATGTCGTAAAAAGTAAAATCATAAAAATACTAAACTCCGAGGAAAATTCAAACGGGAAGTCCCTAATCAAATGGCAAAATCAAACGACTCTGTTTAGAAAGTTTCCAATACATCGAAATTAGAGACGAGGCCTAGAGGGCAAATCAAATCATAAGTCTGACAAGAACGGACATCGAACTGTTCAAACAAGAACAGACAAAAGCACAAACACTAGTTGTATATATGTTATCGGATAGTTCACGTATCAGATAGTTCACGAATCGAATAGTTCACGAATTGGATAGTTCACGAATCACAATTTAAATGTATGTCGTCTCCTTTTTATACATTTTATATCTTTCCTAAATAGATAATTGTATGACGTCTCAAAGACCTCATCAAATTATAAACTAACAAATTGACATACCAAAATTACTCGATCTAAGATCAGTGTTTAAAATTAAGATAAGTGTATATAATCTGATTATATAATGCTTCTGTATTTTTGTGATTGCCATAACTCCAGAAATGTTTGTGTTATTTTGTTTAATCATAGAAAGGGTCGAAAAAACGTTATTAGAATTGGAGTATGGTGCTTCTGGAGAAAGCATTTTAAACGTAATTCGATAAATAGAGAATGCAGTATATACAATTACATATTTTTCCTCATTCTACATTAAAACACATCACATTATTTTTTAAATAGATATTTTTGAAGAAAAAAAACATAATTGTATCTTTGATATCAATACGATACGAAAACAGCACAAACGACTTTTGGTAGTTTTGAATATACGATCAGTGTTTTACAGCGTTTCAAATTTCAAATGAACCGATTATGTATCAAATATTTAGAAGTATCAATTACTTTATGAATGAAATGGAACAAACGCTGAATTAATGTACCTATATTTCTAGACTGAATTTTTAGTCTGCGTATAGTCATCTGGTTGTAATATGCTTTCAAAATCTTTCTGTGTGAACTTGTCTTGTTTTTTTTACTATTATAAAATTTCTATAAATTAAATTTTATTTTTTACTTCTGTGGATTCTTTAACATTTGTTGGATACCAATTTTATCGGCGGTATCGGCGAATCACGAATTTTAATGTTCAACGAATAACAAATTTTGTTAAGGAATGTTTGCAGACTTTGCAAAAACAACGAAATTAAATATCCACGAAAATGCAACTTTTTCTCAATCCACGAAAATTGGTACCCACGAAAATAAATGAATCCACAGTTATTATCCAAAATAAATAATGGCATCTAAGGGGGCAGAAAACAGTCTTGTAATATGTGTACTAAATTGAAACATAAGTATAAAACACTTACTGGACGAATTCATGGTTCTTCTGATATAAGAGGGATTTCGAGAAGATAACAGGTAACTACAACCGGAAGCTATATGTTATATATACTATTAGTATCGGATTTGACCCGGAACTTGTTAACTATTGGTAATATTGATTCATGTGATTATGTGGAAAACAAAAGAGGGCCTGGAATAATGTAATTTTTAACCAACGAGACACCAGATGACACAGAAATTTACAACTTTATGTCACCGTACAGCCTTCAACAATGAGCAAAGCCCATACCGCATAGTCAGCTATAAAAGGATCCGAAATGACAAAAATAAAACAATTAAAACGAGAAAAATAACGGCCTTATGTATGTAAAAAATGAACGAAAAGCAAATATGTAACGCATCAACAAACGACAACCACTGAATTACAGACTACTGACTTGGGACAGGCACATACATACAGAATGTGACGGGGTTAAACCTGTTAGTGGGATCCCAACCTTCCCCTAACCTTGGACAGTGGTGTAACAGTACAACATAAGAACAAACTATAAAATTCTATTGAAAAAGACTTTACTCATAAGATTAATAAAAATAGAAATACATCTAACAAAAACAGAGTGGACGTGGCCGGGTACTCGTATATCCCAACAACAAAAAAGACACTAGGTACTGATCTGAGAGTACACACAGTTACTGACAGCTAGTTAAAAGCCACTAACAACTTATAAAAAAAATCATGCATTTAAGACTTAATTATCAATCAGTACACATCCAACAGTCTAGTTTGCTTTTTCAAAGCGTTCAGATTTATTTGAGTAAATAGTTCAATTAAGATTTGTTTCATAACACAAAGACACACATCAAT